CGCTCGGTGCTCCCGGTGTCAGTCACACCCACCGGGACTCACCGGGTGTGTGTTGGGAGATGTGAGGATTCCGGTAGCGCCGGGGTCGGGAGGAGCTGTGGGGTGTCCAGGGAGGGGAGATGTTTGGGGAGAGCCCCTCCAGGGAGCATCAGCAGGGTGGGTAAATCCTCCCCGAGAATCCCTTCATTTCTAGATATTCTCCGATTTCTAGAATCTTCTCCTCCATCCCCAGAGCAAGAGAAGATGACATCTTGGCTCTTCTGAACCAGCAGTGCCCAGGGACCAGCAGAACCATGGAGCTGGAATACCAACTGCCCAACGCCACCGCGTTTTGGTTCTCCCCAGCTTCCCCCTTTGACAACTTCTCCATGGAAGCACCTACCAACGTGTCACAGAACGCCACAGGCCACCACTTTGACCTGACCAGCAACGCCATCCTCACCTTCATCTACTTTGTGGTCTGCATCATCGGGCTGTGCGGCAACACGCTGGTGATATATGTCATCCTTCGTTATGCCAAGATGAAGACCATCACCAACATCTACATCCTCAACCTGGCCATCGCAGATGAGCTGTTCATGCTCGGTCTGCCCTTCCTGGCCATGCAGGTCGCCCTGGTACACTGGCCCTTTGGTAAAGCCATCTGCAGAATTGTCATGACAGTGGATGGGATCAACCAGTTCACCAGTATCTTCTGCTTGACGGTCATGAGCGTTGACCGGTACCTGGCTGTCGTCCATCCCATTAAATCTGCCAAGTGGAGGAGGCCCAGGACAGCCAAAATGATCAATGTGGCCGTTTGGGGCGTTTCCCTCTTGGTGATCATGCCCATCATGATTTATGCTGGGGTGCAGCATAACCACGGCAGGAGTAGCTGCACCATCATCTGGCCGGGAGAGTCGGGTGCCTGGTACACGGGCTTCATCATCTATGCCTTCATCCTGGGCTTCCTGGTGCCTCTCACCATTATCTGCCTTTGCTACTTGTTCATCATTATCAAAGTCAAGTCCTCAGGCATCAGAGTGGGCTCCTCCAAGAGGAAAAAGTCTGAGAAGAAAGTCACCAGGATGGTTTCCATTGTGGTTGCTGTCTTCATCTTCTGCTGGCTCCCCTTCTACATCTTTAACGTCTCCTCAGTCTCCGTCCTGATCGTGCCCACGCCTGTCCTCAAAGGCATGTTCGACTTCGTGGTGGTCCTCAGTTATGCCAACAGCTGTGCCAACCCCATCCTTTACGCCTTCTTGTCTGACAACTTCAAGAAGAGCTTTCAGAACGTTCTCTGCCTGGTGAAGGTCAGCGGCATGGATGAGGCGGACCGGAGCGACAGCAAGCAGGACAAATCCAGGCTCAACGAGACCACAGAAACCCAGAGGACCCTGCTCAATGGTGACCTGCAGACGAGCATCTGAGGGGACAGCGGGGTTGTCCTTCCTTCGCTCTCCTCTCCTCACTTGGTCCCAACTGGCAGTGGCACGTGTGGAGTCGGGGCAGCAGTGCCAGCGCAGGGGACAGCGGTGCACACACAGATGGGCGGTGGGGGTCCTTGGCTGGGCTCCTCCTCAGTTGCTGGTGGGTTGGTTTTCAAGCACTGAGAAGGTTACAGATCAAGAGGTGCTGCCTCACCAGGAAAACAAAGACAACTCGTAGCAATGCAGCACATTGGAACACCAAAGTGCCACCACGGGCCGTGGCCAGGGCAGCTCTGCTGCCTTCCCTGGTGTTACCCTCGGGGCTGGTTGGCTTTGGGTGCTCTGCCCCAGAATGGATGCTTGCACGTGGACATGTGCGCAGTGAGGTGACCTCAGGAGGAGCCAAGGCCATGGGTGTGTGCCAACACGTGTGCCACCACGGAGCTGGAGCACCAACTTATAGCAAAGACCTGGTGGGAGCTCCCCGGAGAGTCTGAGCGTGCTCCTGCCATCACCCTCCCCCAGGAGACAAGGATATTTGGGGTTGTGTTTTACCTGGTTTATAAGTTCCTCCATCTCCTCCCCGATGCCTCCCTGCTGCTGTCTGACTGCATCGTTTGCAACAGCCGCTCTGCCCGGTGGTGGCACGCTGGGATGGAGGTGGCTGTCCCATGGGAAGCAGCTCTGCCACCCCGGTAGCCACTCTGGTACCACCACGCTCCTACCATGCCTCCTCCAGCCCCACCATCTCCTGCTGCAGGACAACCCCTTCCCTCCTCCTGCTGTTTGCTCCTCGGATGGAGGGTTCCCCCCTTTCCCCTCCCCAGTAGCCACTGTCCCTCCTGCAACCCACATCTGCTCATGGTCCATCCTGGCTGCACCGGCAGCCAACCCAGTGCTCTCCCCAGCAAGATGCAGCCGTGCTGGCTGAGCAGCCACGGCACCATCACCAGACACCAGTCCCTGGTGGGAAATCCTTGGAAGTGTTTAAACAGCAGCAAAACACAGAATCACTGAATGGTCGGGGCTGGAAGAGACCTCTGGAGATCATCTAGTCCAACCCAAACCCCGGGGGTTTGGAGCACTCTGGCACCAGCTGTGGCAAATCCCACTGCCGATGGCTACTGCACCTGGGTGGGATATGGGCTTGTCCTTCCCCGGCTCTGAGGATCACTGGGGCTGTGGCCCCACGGCACACGGGGAGCTGAGCATGGACCAGCTGCTGGGGACACCTGCCCGGCTCCTTCCAGGCAAGTCACGCCGGAGGAAGGGGTGATGGAGAGGATGGGGGACGGGAGGTGGGGCACGCTGGGGGCTTGGCTGTGACCCTCGTCCAAGCCAAAGGGACTGGGCAGCGCAGGTGACAAGGCTTCCAGTGTCAGTGAGGAAGAGGAGGGCAGCACATGTCCCCTCGTCCTCCTCCTGCCCACAGTGCAGGTAAGAGGGGGACACAGGATGCAGCCCACAGTGGGAGGTGGGAGGCAGGTCTGGTGCCCGCTGTGTGTAGCTGCTCAAGACCACCCTGGAGCAATCAATGGGGCTCTGCCCCTCCAGCTCAGCACACAAACCCGGGGCTCAGGACCCCAGACCCCCTGCTCCACCCCAGCAAAGCTGCCTTCCTCAGCCAGCGCAGCCGGAGCACGAGGGAAAGCCCAGGGGAGAGGGAGCAGG